CAGGATGTGATGCGTCCATAAACACAGTTGGGAATGCGGACATGGAGGAAATATCAATGATCCGGATCCAGTAGAGCGTGTAAAAAGACGAATCCATCAATATGTTCACTTGACTTGTACAGGAAGACGGCGGACATACTAACAATAACCAATAATTTTTTTCAATGAACTTGGAAAAATTATGAAGTAAACTTAGTTGAAAAAATACTGCGAATCGTTGTAATCGCTTTGTATTTACAAAAAAAGGAAGGTTCTTTATACAAGAGACTAGTGATCATTTTAACTGTTGTAAGTGGTCGTCGGTGGCGGTGGCTTCTACAGTAATGGACAATCGCCTTCGATCTAGTACAAAAGGGGGGAGAGGAGATGAAAAATACTTATACAGGGTAGGATGGACTTTCCGAGAGTTGATTCGGAGCTAGCAGTGGCTTACTTATCTCAAACAAGGTACTGAGCTAGCGGCGGGGGACGTTACTCTGGGGGGAACTATTCCTACTTCAGAGTACCCGTAAGGCTTTCGGAAGTCGAGGATGAGGATGCAACGAAATCGAAGCAAGTTACTTCGAAAGAATGCAAACTTTTTCCCTATCCTCCCAACAAGCCAAGTTGGTCATTAAACTGGTAGAGACCGACACAAAGTGCGGTCTATTACTCAGATAAATAAAGGCTGATAGTTTCGAAAGAAACTGTTTGGGGCTGCGTCGGTGGGAGTAACGAAATAATTTGGATATATCAACAAGGTTGAAATGGTTAATTGGCCACCGTAACTATTACAAAAGCTGACTGGGGGCTGGATAGGGTTTGATAGAGGGCTGGATAGTTGATAGGGCTGGATAGAGGGCCGAGGCTGGATAACAACTAAATCCCACAGGGATTTAGCTGTTATCCAGCCTCTCCATGCTACGTATTGGACGTCCTTACTATACGAACATTGTCGATATGCATACTATACCGCCTCCTATACTTTATGTGTAGTGCCTTTGTTGACAATAATTTAGCCCCTGCTACTTCGATACCGGTAGAACATTTCCATCAATGAGTAATAGGTCCTAAAAATGACATCATGTCTTTAATGTACCGCTGCCACATTATTTTAAAAAGCGATAAAAGAGAGTTTTCCCTATCGTATTGTGAAACAGAATATGAGTCGATATCTTTCTGTTTGCCAAGGGAATTGACCGTTAGTACTAATTTTAAATCAAATTGAACTTACAAATGGAGGCAAACAGGTGGTTGCGACCCTCATATAACTGTTGCATTAGCAGTTTAGCTGCATTCGGTATATAAAATAATTACAGAGTAGTAAAAAGAAAATTTTTTTATAAAATTTTTACACAAGAATTAGATGAATAGTTGCATCTTTTATCAATTGATTCACTTCTTTGGCTATTTCCCAGTCGATAAATGAACTAATAGATTCAAATTTTAAAAATGTAAAGTCGCAATTCATACCTAATTCATTTTTTGACAGAGCAGACAGTTTTCTCCCACAATTTAAGTAAAAAAACGTCAGTGAATAATTCTTTATGTGGTTTTATTAGGAGAGTAAGGTTTCAGTGATCGCAGCTGAGCGGGTGCTGTTCAAACGAAATATTTCTTTCTGTACATAATCACATATAATCTACAAGAGAAACAAAACATTTGCAGGACAATGTCGAAAAAAAATTTTAGTAGAGGTGGAACAAAGACCAAAACAGTTCTCGAGCTGCTTTGCTCCCCATCGGTAATGGATGGACTTCAACTCCAATCGATTTCTCTCTCAGCGGTGCACATTCTCCTCTCCATCACAGCATTCCTTGGGAATTCTCTGATCCTTCTTGCCCTTAACAAAGAATCTTCCCTTCATCCAGCGTCTAAACTCTTATATCGTTGTCTGGCAACAACTGATCTGTTGGTTGGTCTTTTTACCCAGCCTCTCTATGCTTACGCATTTCCTGTTAGTAGTTCACGAACACTGGAGTCTTCGTCGATACTCATTAAAAGCAGCCTTCATAACAAGCTACTTGTCAAGTGGAGTATCTCTATTGACGATGATGACCATTAGCGTGGACAGACTTCTCGCCCTGTTGTTGGGGCTGAGCCGGATACAGACAAATTGTAACTTTGAAGCGCATATATATCATCGTAGCTTCCTTTTGGGTTTTAAGTCTTGTTACTTCTTTATACGCCATTTCTTATTAGCGTAAAACTTTTTTTTTAACGGAAGCATATGTATACCATTATGCCTGGTTATTTCACTCACCTCGTACACAAAGATTTTCTGCACTCTCTGGTATCAACAGGCTCGAGTACAAGATCATTCTCATTAACAGCCGAGGCAACTAAATGCGCTGAAAATGGTGCGATACAGAAATGTAGTGTATAGTGCATTATGGGTGCAGATGGCGTTTTTAGCAAAGCTAAAGCCTCTAGGCTATGTTAACCTCTTCAATTCGCAAATCCATTTTCTCCCATTTTTATTATTGATGTAATAAGACAGTTATCGCAAGCTTTCTAAAATCAACAAAGTGATCTGGACAAATGGAAGATATAGGATAAAAGAGAACCAGCTTTTGCGTGAAGGGAATACCTTACCATAGCCAATACTTGGTGTCCGAAATGTAAGTATTATTTTTCCGTGGTATAACGTTTCAATCAAATCGTTATCTTAGTAAATACACTAACGCCAAACAGAAATCAATTAAGAACTACCTTGACTTATAAGTATGAAACGTGTGCCTGGTTGAAATATTTTCTCTTTGAGCCGGTGTAACTCACCCTGTTGCTGATATCATATTTTGACGAAGCAACTGAACTAGGTCTGTTTTACTACCAATACTAAGAAAACACAGGCACCAAATAGATCAATTTGTTGACTGACCTAGTCTATTCTCGGCCTTTATGAAACCCGATCCATAAATGAATTCTGTATTTGTACCGCGCGGATTTAAAATAAGCAAAACAATCAATCCACCTCTAAGTTCCCTGGCAATCCTGTGGATCTCAGGAACATGTTTGACTAAGAAGTCACTCTGTCTTCTATTTCTTTACCTTCCTCTCCTTAACATCTATTTCTTTACCTTCCTCTCCTTAACATGCAGCTGTAAGGTATTATATGAGAATTGTGCTGCCCACCGTCACAATTTTAAGCCTTTTGGGGATCATATTTTACTGGAAGAGCTCTTTCAGGATCTTCGAATACGTTTATGAACGACTACTTCATACAAACAAACCATTTATTCTAGCCTCATATGATGCAGGAAAGAACCAATCAATGATGTGCCACAACGTACGAAGCCTAATGCGAAATGCTAGATGGGTAAAACGTATGACTGTAACTGCATGAGAGGAAAATCAGCAAAGTAATATTGAGCTTCAGATTCGTAAGAAATGCGGGTTGCCTCTGACCCTACATAGAACTGACTCAAGATGTGGGGGCAAACCATTTTTCCTCAGCGCTCCCTACCTTGATTTAAAAATTCCCGCTTTATGTGACAGTACAAGTGCAGCACCCTGCTGCAACCACAGAACACGAAGGTGTGGGGCTGGACCAAACAACTGCAACTGCAATAGATGTACTGACTTTAGGAAAGAAATTTCCGCCGAGCTTTACGAGTGGGTTCCGTTTAATGGCTGTATATTCACCAATTTCAACACTGAAAGAGCATGCAGTCTCACTTCAAGCCGAGTTTCGAGACTGATTCTCATTGGAGACTCCTTAGTGAGACATCTTTTTAATGCATTGATGATTTTATTTACAAATGACGAGGAAAGAGGAGGCTTGAAACCAGTGCAAGATCATAAGATAAAAGATTGCCAAGGTGTTATGCAGTTTGTCGAAGGGGGTAAAACTGCTTGTCACAACAAAACCTTGACAGGCATTCCAGTCGCAATTGAAAGATTATTTTGTCAAGGAAAGTATAACTTTGATTTTTCCTTCAAAGAATACTTCAGCCTGAACGAGGCAACAAATATTTTGGCCACTGTTCGCCGCAATATAAACAAAGATAAAACATTTCTTGCTTTGACCTTTGACATTTATTGCTTTGGGTGTTGGAATTCATATGGATCTTAACGCAGAAACAATACAAAAGAAAATCATGGATCCCTTGCTTAATATGAAGAAATCCAATAGTGCAACTTGGCCGTATATAATATGGCTTTCAGTGCACGCTCATGGAAGTTTAAAGGATAAAAACTATGATTTTCCGTCTTATAACGATCGTATCGTCCGTTTTAACTTGAGTATGGAAAAATATCTCTCAGTACATGGCATTCCAGTGTTTGATACTTTTAGTTTAACGAGTGGTGTAAGGAGTATAGACGGCACACACTTTGGGATGGGACTAAATATGGTAAAACCACAGCTTTTTCTGAACTTTTTACAAGAATCGCTTTGAAAAGAATGGGCTTACAAGATTATCACACACCGACAAAAGTTAAATGTACATCTTACTTTACAAAGACAGCCGATAAAATGGACGACGATAGCATTTTCTCATGGTTATGGGAAATGTAGGAACGAGGTATTTGGAGATTCAATCTGCATTTTTCCCGACGTTGGCAAGCCTCATGGAGTATATGTGTGTAATCAAAGATTACGGACCGATTCTTAGATACAGCAGACCTACTCCGATCCTTTGACTTGACAAAGAGCTCACGCTCGAAATATCAGCTTTAGAAACTCTTTAAAGGGAAAGTACAGTCGAGAAAAAGTTTATCTCAATTAGAAGAATTTTTCCTCTGGAGTTCGAAAATAACTGCCATTTTGTCTAGTTTGCTTTGTATCAGCGACAAGAGCGCTTCGAAGTTGCCCATTTTTACAACTTTCGTGGTTAGAAAAACGCCATCTTGGATCTTAGTCAAACTTAGTTTGGCACTTTGTTCTTGTTGACTAGTTTGACCTTTTGTGAAAACAATTTCTAATACTCCCAATAGTTGAAAGGAGGTGAACTGTCCTGTTGTTGAATGTCAAAATACATATTAAAATTCAAAAGGAAAAGGTGTAAGCCTCTACAAGCTACCGGAAAGTGAAATATTAAAGAAAAGTTAGCTAGCAAAAATGACCCGCGACGACGGCTTGCCGAACCCTGTAAAACTTCAGAACTTCCAGAACTTCCAGAACGAAGACTTCCAGCGAGATATACAGACATGTAAGTTTTCCTTGTTGACCTTCGCTTCGAACTGAAGGCTATGCTTACCTTTTCCATATTCAACACAGCTCTCAGCTATTTATTTTACGAGTTTTTTCAAACCATTTATAAGCGAATAAATTGAAACTCGTAATCGTGGTACACCGTGTGTGGTAAATTTTCAGTCGCCACCCTTGACCAAAGGCGATTTACAACATCATGCGCTTTTCCAAGCGGTGTACAAATATATCTCGTCTTTCTTAAGTCTGTTATGAGTCCATCGAGTAGATTTTCTTTACCCGAACAGTCACATTCTCCTGCGGAGAAAAAACTA